GCATTGGATTCGCCTCTTCCTCCAGCGGATTCTCTGGGTTTCGCCTTCCAGCACGGATTCAGGGCGAAGAAGAGGAGCACGACGGCATCCCCAACAAGCCGTCCTCTGCCTCCTCTGATTCTCGCCATTGATGGAACTATCAACATACGATCGAAATCTTTTCCCTTTCACCAGGTGCTACCTCCATAACACATTTCTCGCGTATGTTCACTTTTTACTCATTGTCGATTTATTACCCTGTTTTCACTTATGATCTTCCTATCCATTTCCGAAAATCTTTCAGGGCTCATTTCAAATAATCTGCTGGGAGGATATAGTATATATGTGGAGCTGTTAAACTGGACTTAAAGACCAGTATATGAGGGAGAGATTTTGGTCACTTTGGATTCGATGGCCTACACCGGGGCAAGAATAAATCTGGTTATCTTTCAGGTTTTTTCATCCCCCGGTTTGTTTTAGCTTCTATCAGTTCGATTCTGTTGAAGAATTTGGTTTCCTGTTTTGAGTGAGCTCATTGTCTTGGAGCTCGACTTTCTTGTTTTGGATATCTTTTGGATTTGCTATCTGTTAATGCTGCTAGACCTTGTATCACATGGCTACTTTTTGTGCATGTCCTTTCTTTCAGTCAACTTATTTGCTAGAGTTACTATTTGAGAAGCGAACTAGTGTTTTCTCAGTAGATTTGATAATTTCCTCAACTGGAGCAGATCCTGTAGGTAAAACCTGGCCTTGTTTTTGAAAATTCTCACTAAACAAAGGCATATACCCAGATCTGGAAATATAGAAAACTAGTAGCATTTTCCCTCATCTAAATCCTATATGCTTTTGATCTGAATAAAATGGGAGAAGCTAATTAGGGTCTTATCGTCAGTCCAAATTCTAAAAGGGTCCATGTTCTTGGTGTAGATAAAAGAGAGGTATATCTTGTTGATTGTTTTTTGTTGCTTTACTGCTTTTCCATGCCTCCACAAAAACTTCCTTAAACCTGCAAAAAGAATTGAAAGGATGAGTCTTTTACATCTCTGTCGTTGCTCGCCCATTTGGGGACACACAGGGAGAAGTCATTTTCCATGATCCGTAGGATTTATTAGGACAGGGAGAGAAAATGGTAGCTGGTTTTCTCAACCCAATGTCCGTTTTCGCTGTTAAATAATGAAATATTTCTTATCTAGAGTAGAGAATCTTGTTCTTGGAGTTTCATCTTGACCTATATTCCTCTGTTTTACTATTCAGTAATGAGTTTACCAAACTTAATTATGAAAGAACCACGAAAAGTCAAAAAAGATGAACAAGAAGAATAAATAAATCCTGGAAACCCTTTTGGCCTTCTTGAAGAAAGTTGAAAGCTTTACTCTCACTGAAGGCTTTAATCAGAATATCATCATCTTAGAGACATCAACTGCCAAAAGTAGGTGAGTGAGAATTCTCTCGTGAAATCTATAGGTTTGTGCTATTTTAGACCTTAAATGTTTACAAGTGTGATGCATAGAGGTGATGGATTTAAGTTAACATGTCCTGAAGCCAACTTTAGCATTAAGATCGGATTTTGTGTTGGGTAGGGGGGGCGGAATCTATAAGTTCTTGGTCTACAATCAAATATGTAAAGGTAAATTTAGCAGGTCAGAACAACTAAGTCAAAGTGGTTGACATTTGCAGGGGGAACCATGAAAGGGGAATTGGACGAGCACAATTACAAGCAAAAACTCACCTATTGGAAGAAGAATACATAGATAGATACCACCAAAAGCTATGGTACTTGGCCATCCTGTAAATGGTCCCCTACCTACCCTACTCCCTGTTAAATCCCAGTGCCTAATAAAAATCTCTTTGAGCTTAGCTGGAAAGTTTTATTTCCCCAGTAGGTTATAAAAAATTTGAGAGAGATAAAAGAGGAACTCTTGGCTTATATTGAGATAGTGACAATTTGTTCTGTGGTTGTTGGTACTTCTTTATAGTTGGTTCAAGTGTACTCCAATCCAAAAACATCTGCATGATATTGCTGAAATTTTTGAATGAAATGAGTTCTCGACTGCAACCACAATAAATTGGCTCTGGTTTAGTTGCCCACCATATCCTATTATCCGATTTTCTGATGAAACAATGCGTATGTGATGGATTTGATTGGTGAATAAATCCATTAATAAGTATCTAGAGAGACTTTCACGAGGGAAATAAAGTTCCCTGAATAATGAGATTTTTGGCGGGTTGTAGATCATATGAGATCACTGATTATCTTTGTCGAGGAGGTGTAGTTGGCTTGGCCACTTGGCCTTTTACCTACCTTGCAACAGAATAATGAATAATTGGATGATAATTAATGCATAATGGACATATGAGCTGGAGCATTATATGTATATTGAGTGTATTTCCATTATTGTCTGCAGATGAGTGAAAAGATAGAAATTTCTTTTTTATTTTTTCAAAAAGAGATTTTACTGTTTTTCCAATTGCATCCTCTTGAGAAGAACTTTCTTTTGGGTGGGGGGTAAATTCTTGAGAGCCAATTTTGATTGATGGAAAGTACAGCATTTGGAGTTTTTAACAGTAACTTTCTTTTGGAAGGGGGTAAATTCTCAAGAACTACTTTTGATTGATGGAAAGTACAGCATTTGGACTCTTTGATGAAGGGGGAAATTCTAAAACTATTGATCCAAGAATCGAAATTCTGGGATTCTACTTTCTTTTTAAGAAAAAAAAAAAAAAAAAATCATGAGACCTCATGACATGCACAGAAATTTTAGCAAAAGTACTACCTTATCTTGCATCACGAAAAAAAGAAAGGTTGTATGTACCTGTTCTTGTCAGATCAATCCAGACAATTAACTCTCTCTCTCTCTCTCTCTCTTATATTATCCACATTGTACGCCTTTGAAATTCACACCAATTCCGAAATCGACAAAACTAGCACACAAAAAAGCAGGAAAAAAGATGGCCGGATCACGAGCTCATGTCACTTGATCAAAAACCAACAAGCTATGGATTTGATGGAGTACCCTTTTTAGCCTTTGTAGTTTCCTTTCCATTTGACAAAGCAGGTTTAACTGAAGCAAAAACCTTCATGTCTGGGTGCTTAACGAGTTTGTCTGCCATGCTGGTCTCCCCTAAATAGCCTTTCTTTGATTTGGGCAGTTGAGCATGGACCCTCACCTCCCATGGGCGAGCAGCCACCCATCGCTCCGTCCAGCTCCAACCCCAGTTTTCTTTGCCGAGGCTGTAGGAAGCCTGGCCGAGATACTGTGTTGGGTTGGCTCTCCACTGCAAATCATGTCAACTTTATATATGTAGTAGACATACATATATATATATATATCTCAAACATTAAGTAGGGAGGAGAAGTTTTGAGGTGTTCATTTTAAATTAACCTGATGAGAGAAGGCATAAGCCATTGCTCGCTCACGCTTGACAGCCGCTTCTTCTCTTTGCTGTATCCTGGCAAGGATTTCGTCCATGGTTTCAGAGCCTCCGCACCACTCCACCTGCAGATTAAAACAATGGTAGGGTAAACACGAGGAAAATTTAAAATCCCTCCGGCATGATCATGAAGCCTTAATTTAGTACCTCCAATTCATGAAGCTTAGTGTCAAGTTTCACTTGATTTTCCAACTTCTTTTGCTTAATCCTGCCCTGTGTAACCATACACAGGCGACGTGCTCTGATCTGGGACTGTATATTGCACCAAGAATGTATATGGCCGAGGGCGGTTGATGTCTGCTTTTTAACAGTATTGCCTTGAACCAAAATGTTAAACCTCACTGCTCCCTTTCTTCTGCAACACTGTTTCCTTGCCTGCACGAGGTATACATGAAATGCTAATTCTTAAACAGATTCACCTAAGAAACATTACTTGGGAATAATATGTGAAACATGATTTTATTGATTTCAGACTCATAACATATTTCCAAAAGAAATAATATGTACCAAGAATGCCCGAAAAGCATTTTGGATTCGAACAGCAGCTCGTGCTTCAACCGACACTGGTGGAGCACGAGTATCGTCGTGGGAACCAACAATGGCAAGATTATTCGAGCCACTAGAATTTGCTTCATTTGATTTCTCGCTGGTTGAATTTACCTGCTTTCAACCCATGAGACTCCTAATCTCCAACAAATACAAAGATATGTATGAGGACAACTGCAGAGAAAGAGTATTAAACCTTAGTCGGCTTAGATGTAGCAGTCTTAGGTTTCTTTAAGCCAATTAGTGATCTAAAGCAGTTTGCTGAACCCATTTGCTACTTCGATCTGACAATCAAATAAGCACAACACACCAAATAAAACCTGCCATAGAAAATCCCCATCAGAAGCAGATTGAAATTGAACCCATTTTCAACAGAGTGATAAAAAAGAAAGATTACATGAATGCACAAAACTGAAGTGAAAAACTACCCAAAAATTAAGAAGTTAACAAGAATCCCACCAGAAGCAAAAGAAGAAAAAAGAGAACTGGGAAACAAAGAATGGAGGAGGAGATAGCAGAGGAGGAGGAAAACATGGTGTGGCTTAGGTGAGAATGGGATGGGATTAGCAGTAAGTTACTGGTACATCCATCAACTCAAATTGACAACCCAACTAAAGTTTGAAGACGCTGTTTCATCTCTTGGAAGATCAACCGTCAACAGCAACACACAATAATACCACACGAACAGAAAACATATACCAAAGATGTACATAAACACAACAAAAAAAAGAAAAATGGTCCCGGCGGGGCTCGAACCCGCGACCTTCGGCTCATAAGACCAACGCTCTAACCAACTGAGCTACGGGACCTCAAGTGCTATATTTAGGAGAATTAAAAATTAAATTAGTTTTTCTTCTTTTGAAAAGAATTCTACAAAAATGAAAATTAATTTCATTCATAAAACAAAGTCTAAAAATTTAAAATAAAAACTTCAAAAAATTTATATCAAACTCATTAGTCCAAGCCATATATGTATATATATATATATATATATGTATAGTTTTAAATATGAATTGACCTAAATTCATGAGTGGAATGGAAGTGAAGTTGACAAAACCATGGCATCGACTCCTTTAAGTTGCAAGAGTCATCCAAGTGAGTAGGACATTCCCATCACTTACAAGTGTTGGGTTGCTATCTCATACAAACTAAAGGGCATCACCCATGTGCTTTATGTTAAAATATACATACACACACACATATATATATATATATATGTGTGTGTGTGTGTATATAATGAAAAAATACAATTGATAGACCCTTAAAAATTCAAAAGATTTTATGAGTTTTAAGCACGTAGAATTCTCGTATCCTCGATTTCTCTTTAATAGTCATATATTGTTATAAACTATAAAGTAAGTTTCTATAATGCATGATATGCGTTTGCACGTGATATTATTTTAGTATTTTTTTATATTATAATTTATATAAAAATAATATGGAACGTTACCTTACAATAATAGTGTAAAATTTATAAGCCATAATAACAAATGTTATAGTCAAACAAAAGTCAAACCCCATCCTTATATTTACATATATATTTTCACACTAATTTTGCTTTTATCTTGAAAAATTATACGATGTTATCACTTTATTTTTATATTTAAAAATTATTTAATTTATAATTTTATAATGAATTAAAAATTAAATTCTATTTTTTTTATTATTAGATACACTAATTTATTTTATATATATATTTTTAAAAAAACTAGTTAGTTAAAATGAAAGATTATGATAATTTCAACTATTTAATAGACTTCTAACCCCACGAGCCATCAAAATCCAAGAATATTAATTCAAGTTTGAATTTTTTAAAATGAAGAAATAAGATATGTATATATATATATGTATATGTATGTATAAGATGATGAGAGAGAATCTTGTTAATAAGATGCCTAAATGGTTTTGTATATCTATTAAAATCTCGAGAATTTATACTATTGATAAGTGATTGTTAGAGGTGTCTTCTTTAGTTTCTTTGAAGACAAAAGCTTTGCTTTCTTCCCATCAAAACCTAGAGATGGTTGTGGGTCGAGGTGGGCCATTTTTGGAAAGACGAAGATAACATTTGCTTATTTCTACTACATAAAAACAAGCACATAATATTTTTCAAGTTTTGATGAAATCTTACTTTTCTGCTTGCTCTTCCTTTTAAGTCTCTCTGTGGGACCTAACCTTTCTTCATTAGCAAATTCACGCTTGTTATAATCCATCCTTTGGGTTTGATTTTTACATTGATTTACTTTAAATCTATTAGAGAGTTGTTTCTTTTTTATATTAAAGAAAAAATTTGAAGGCAATCAAGAACAGTAGATCTAATTCTCCTTAAAAATAGAAAACAGATTACTTCAGTGTGTGATTTAGATGAGTTATTATTGTTTGATTTTGGCTTATCATATAATAATTTTCGAATAAAATATAATTTGGATCTCATAATCTCGACAACAAATTGGTCTAATCTACGAAAATTGAAAATGATTTTGGTAAAATCAATTCTGGGTTGTTCAAAAAAGTTAAAATGGGTAGATTAAGGTATGAAAGGAATGAAAATATTGGAAGATGAACAAGTTAGGAAATTCAAATTTATTTGGTGTAGTTTTAGGCAAGGATCTTGACATTGTGATTGCATTATTTACAAGCAAACAGCTTGTAATGGCCTTACATTATTGCTCTTCCCCAACTCTTTTCTACAAATGCTATGGCTAAGAAACCATATGGTTAGCTAGATTTATATATATTTAGAATCAACAAATAGTGTAAATAGATTGAAAGATATCATCAAGCTATATGGTGTGTGTAGCATATATAACCCATGTGTAAGAAATAACAAAGCACACGAATTGAAGGAGAAAGTGGGTAGTGGTGAAATCCATTTTTTACAATTGGGTGTGGACCCAAAAACCCAAAAACTGGTGTGGGATCCAGAGGCTGCAGAGGCCAGCACAGGGTAACCTAAAAATGGAACAAACGAGCCAAGGTGACATTAGTTACTCAGCACTGTCTTGTAGCTCCAAGAAAAATAATAATAAGTAGAATAATAATTTGAGGGAGAAAGATGCCAAAACCTAATAAAAGGGAGAGAGACTGAAATTCAGAAGAGTCGGTCTAGGAAGCAAATAGGGAGTGGAGCGAGGATTTGGGCGATAAGTTTGAGAGAAAATATATTCATAGTTAGTGCCTTAGATTTGCATGTGGCTTTTAAATCTCTCTTTTTTTTTTTTTGGAACGAAAGATTGAAAATTTAAAACTGGCTATTTTCACTATATATTTGATCTGATCTGTCTCTCAGACAAGAAATTTTGGTTGGAGAAAAATCTGAAACTCTTGATACTCAATATCTCTCTCTCTCTCTTTTTCTCTCTCTCTCTCTGCTCGTGTTCTTCATGGAAATTAAGTTGGCTGTGCTCCTGGGTTTGTTCCTTTAACCGATCTTCACTTCATTGCCAGCGAGATTTTGGGTAAATCTTGTTTTTTTGAACTTCTGTTCATGTTAACTTTCTCTTCAGGTTCTCCTCTTTTTTATTTTATTTTTATTTCTCTATTTTCGAAGTTGTTGTATCAAAACATTTTTGAGTATCTCTCTCGAAGTTTGTGCATCTGGGTATGTTTACAAAAGGTTCCTTGCTTGTCCTGTTTGATCATAAGATAAGAAGAACAGCGCAGCAGGAGCAGGAGCGTGGTGTGATGGATGACAGCATGGAAAACCAAAAATGTGTGTCCTTTTCTTATCTGGGTTTTCCCAAAATTTCTTATATGGCTACATGTTAGTACTGGTAGTGTCATGAAATTCATGATCTGGGTTCTCTTCTAAATCTGGTTTCTGCATCTGGGTTTGCTGTAAATTTTCTTGGGAATTGTTAGTTTTAGATGGGAAATCAACCAGAATGGCACTAGAAGATCATAGCCAGAAAGGCAGCAATAGTGCTAGTAGTATTGCTGGTGGTGATGGAAATCTAGCGAGATCTTCCAAGAAGCAAAAACCTAAAAAGGTACCACAAAGAGGCCTTGGTGTGGCGCAGCTTGAAAAGATCAGGCTCGAGGAACAACAAAAGAAAGATGCAGCTGCAATTTTGCCTTCTTCACCATCAACTATCTTGTCCCAAACAAAATCTCCATACTTTTCTGTACCATTTCCAGGCTATCATAACCCCCCAAATCACCCTTCTTCTTCTTGTTCCTCTTCTTCAATCCCATTTTCATCTGATCATTCTTCCTCAAGTTCAATGCTTAGGCCACCTCCACTTCTACAAAATGTTGATGGTGTTGGTACAGACACTGCTCCATTTACTAATTCCATTGGCTGGTCACCTGTTCCACTTCAGGGAAATGCTAATGGTGTGCCTAAATTGTGGAGTCCTTGCGAGTATAACCTCGAGAAGGAGAGTTCAGGGGTGGATCCAGGTTTGGCTTGCCGGTCAAATTTGATTGTGCCTTATGAATTGAATCCCATTTGGCCTCTGCCTAGCTTGATACAGAAAGCACAGCAATGTCAGCGAGCTTATTCTATGGTAAGATATTTGCTTCTTGAAAAAAAAAAAAAAGAAATTGATATGTTTGTTGATTGAGATTAGAGAAATTTGATGTTTTGACATGTTTTATAGGTGAATGCATCATCGGCAACTTCAGCATCATCATCATCATCAACACAATCATCATCTCTCTTAAACAATTTCCAGATAGAGCCCCCTTCAAACCAAAGCTATTATAGCAATTATACATCTCCTTGGCCAGAAGAGGAAAAGGTATGTTCTGTTTGCTTCTTTATTTTTCTTCTTCTGCCATGGGATTACCAAATTAGGGTAAGGTTTTCTTCTGCTGGTATTTATCTTTCTTAGCAGGCAAAGTAGAAAGAGTAGGAACTTCATGTCATTTGCTCTTGTACATCTGCATTTTGCTCATGTTATATGTAATGAAGCAGCTAACTCGGCTAAGCCTATTTCATCATGCATTTCTTGAGTTATATTGAAGCACAAATTTTACTTAATGAAATAAGTAATTATGGCAACTATCCCCAAATAAAAAAAAAAAGTCTCAATCTATTGTTTATACATTAGTATATCCTCAAAAGCTGCTAGACTGCAAGCATTAATCAAGCACAGGCTAAATTTGAACGCTAAAACTCTTAACTTTCGTTTATTGTGAAAGAATTGCTTGTGGAAAATTATCAAAAAAGCTTAATCAGACCAGAATATGACCAAATCTGTTATTTGTTCGCTATTATTCCAGTCTTTAATTTCTTTTTCTGTTGTATTCTATTGGATTAAGGCAAACTAATAAATGGATATTGGCTTTCATGCTTGGTTTGATTAAAATGTAGTATAGATGGTTGGCTTCAAGAGGTCATATCCATTCTCTCTAGACAATTCTTCTGGCCCTTTATTTGACTGCAAATTTCCTCCTCTTGTTCACCATCCCATCAATAAATCAAGCGAACAAGCTTCACATTGCAATGGAGGCTCAGTTTATCTTGAATCAGGAAATCAAATTTTCAGGTTAGCTGATTGAAAGCTGGGGTTTCTTAGTTGCATTTTCTTATTAATTGGTTGAAAAGTTTACATTGTTTTCTATGTTGCTCAATCTCCTTGCAGAGACAGCCTTACATGTCCAACTTCAATGTCAGAGTTGTATTCAAAACAAAGCAACAGAGAAAGTGGAAGTTCCAATAGAGATTTTCTCACATTAGCTCCTCCTACAATCTCAAATATCAAGCACATATCACCTGCTAATCTTGGCTACAACAATCATGAATATCCTGATTTTGAATCACCACCTTACCAAGTAAGTCCGAAAAACAGCTAGTACCCATCTTCCATTTTTGCTAAATTTCTGCTAGTTCCCTAGTTTTCTGTTCCTTAACAAGCTTGCTGCGGTTGTTCTTCTTCTAATTATTAAAAGGTAAGCACAGAAGATTCGATCATCAAGCAAGGACCTAGTCAATCAAATCAACAGCAGCCTTATTTTAGCTTCTTCCCACCAGCAGCGAAGCAGATTGACCCAGCAGCAAGTAGCAGTGTTAGCAATTGTAATGTCGGTGAAGTAGGAGAAGGTGTTGATCTGAATTTGAAGCTCTAGGTGGTTAAAATTGTTCTCTTTCTCATTTACAGCCTTTTGAATGGCCATTTTATTTCACTATGAAACTCTGTACTAGCAGCAATACCAGTTTCTTTTCCATTTTCCTTTGTTATATTTCCATTTGACATGTAGGTGAACAATTAAACATACCCAGATCTTGCATATATATATAAGCTTGAATTTGAAAGAGGAACCCAAATCTTGGCAATAGAAGTTTTGAATGCCTCAGGGTTTTTGCCAGTTCCTCTTTTGCTATTGGTATGCTAGGTGACATTGTGCTGGACTGGATTAGACACACATTTTGGAATATGAACTGCAGGACTGGAGAATCTGCTCTTGCCTTTTATTGGGTTTTGTTTAATGGGTCATTAAAATGAATTTAATTAATTAATTAATAATGATAAACTAATATATACTAATTTTATTAATTTAATTAATTAGTAATTTTTTTTGAATTATTTATTAAAATATTTAAATATGGTTTTAATTTTTTGAATTAAAATATTAAAAATCGAAATGCGATGAAAATAACTTGAACCCAAACTATGCCTCTCGAGACTAAAGAGTTAAACCTAAACAACAAACTGATTTGAACATTACATATACGTGAATTAGTGATTCAATTAACTCTCGAGTTGTTTATACTTGATGTTAGAAAATGAATAAATCGGAATTTTTGTCTTATGGTGCATATTTCAATTAAAAAACTCAACTTGATATGTCGCGATTCTACTGGAATTAACCCTAACTTGTTCATTTGATTTCATTAATCAAATATTATTAGTTGACCATTATAAATATATAATACATCTATAAAATAATAAATTTTATGTTTTCAATGAAGTTTAAATTCATAATTTTTAAATCAAAACCTAAAAATTTTAAACACTACAGTACCGTATTTACAGTCTCGACCTTTAACAGTTCTGAGATAAAGACAATGAGGGAAAAAGAAATTCAATGATCTGATGGGTTGGCCATGTTATCCCCCTTCTACCTCCCTGGATTTTCAAGCCTGTCTCTACCATAATATTAACTCATCAATTTATTACATATAATAAACTTGGCCAAGTAATTCTATAGATATATAGATACAGCCACCGCCCAACGGTTGCTAAAAACAACATAAGAACATCGCCAAAAAGTAAACTCGAAGTCCCAACTGATAGAGAGTCTAAAATGATCTATGACCAGCCACAGTAGTAATCAAGAACATAAACCAGTGCCAAGGAGAATGGATAAAGAATGAAAGCCACCACGCAAGTCCAAAGCGGGAAGGTTGTGCGATAACTGGCAAAGACACCCATCAAGATGCAAACAATAAAGATAACCAGCACTTCGGATGAGAAATCCCATATCAACCCCCTAGCATAAACAAGGGCTAAGAAGACTGATAGACAGAGCACATTGTTCATTGTTACTGCCCCATATAGCTGCAAGAAGAAACTCAAATAAGAAATTTAATAGTACACTATTTAATGAACAAAGAGGAATAAGGTTGTGATAATGGTAGTAAAGCTATACTCCTCATCCCTCTCAAAACTACCTCACTCTGGTGTAGCCTATGAAGGGATCATTTACCTCTGCGAGTTTCACAAATTTATAGCCCCACTGACTGTAGCATTTTTATTACCTCACACTAATTCGCTTCCACATGTCACTTTGGGTGAAATGCGATTAATACAACACATATTTAGAAGTGAGATCTGCATCACGTGTTCAAACCTTTTCGTCTTCAAATGGCTACTATGATATTGTCTGCAGACTACAGAAACTAAAATAGCAACCAGATTGTTTTTTCCCCTTCGTTATTTGTTAGTCACTTTTATCTCAATTATGAAAGATTATTGAAATATTTAAATATGCAAATATATCTTGAGAACCAAGTCTGCACATTTAAGAAAACAAACTTCGAGCTGAAACGTACTTGGAAGTTGTTAGACAGCTGAGATTAATGGAGCTTAAATCTTAGCTTTATCACAAAGAAAGAAAGAGAAAAATAAGAAAATTTACCTCAGAAAACGTCAATGAGGCTGTCCTGAGCTTTTTATGAGTAGCGAAGATAATTGCTGACACGGCTTCACTTGAGTTGGTAGCCAAAGGCAATGCAATAAATGAGATGAAAAAGGAAGGAATACTTGTTGCAATTGAAAAGTTGTCAACAGCATCAACCAGAGGATCAGCAAATACAGCGGCAATAACAGTCCCCACCAACAAAAAAAGAACTGCTTTGATGGAGACCCATTTTGAGTTTTCAACACCGTCCTGACCAGCCTCATCATTTTGCGCATTGATGCCTAAGAAATGATGCTCCCTCCTTGTTTGCTGCAAATGAAACTCCAATATGAATCAGCCTGCATTGACTAAGCAGTAAGAGTTTTATTTGTCCAACTTACTTGGTGAAAGTCATCTATAAACTGAAGTGTTTCGGAATCAGCAGCAGATGGACCATCCTGAGTCCTCCTTGCCTCGTTAAGCCATTTTTTGATACCATTAATGAATTCTTCTATATCAACATGATCATCATTAGAGGTATCAAAGTCTTGCATTAACTTATGCACAGCATCATCCTTATCCAAGTCTAACTCTAGAAATCGAATTCCCAAGATGAATGCTTTCAGTTCAGTCCTTGAAAGACGTTCATCTTGATTTTCATCAATTGTAGCAAACAGCCTGCAACAGTATCCATTAGAAGGGGAAAAAATGACATAAGTATTTAATGAGTTAGTCAAGGGTACCGGAAACTAGAATTATTAAACAAAACTGACTTTTGAATAATGTCTCTATCTGGTTCACCATCATCATCCAGAAGCTTTCCTAAAGCATGATGTCTCAAGTGTTTTAACAGTCCTGACATGACATGCTTGTGCCTCACATAAGCAAGCCGTCTGCTCTGGATCTTAGGTTGAAAAACCTACACAACATATACTGAAGAAAAGTTATGCATTAAGGAGGCAAAAAATTTCCAAATTTTAAATTGGCAAAACAGAAAATTCTTAGTATCTCTGCTTCCTGTTTGGAATGGTATAAAATTCCAAACCTTTCATGTTCCATATCTATGCATAGTCACTGCATGAAGTACACATTAATCATAGATGGGACACCCACTGACAGGGAAATCTGGACATACTTCCTCCTAAACCAACAAATTGTTATGCAACTAGAGGAGATTTAACATTCTAAATACTCAGATTTCAAGATTTAGAAATACCATCTAAAGGCCAATGTAGAACAAACTTTCACAAATAACTAGCACAAACTAATTATTGTCGATGCTTTTTCACAGTAATATGATGATAATTATTGTCTGTGATTGTTCTAGAATAAACGAAACAAAAGACAGTAGACCTAGACTACCAGATGAGTAACTGCGTATAAGCTTACAGTTTTACAAAATGATGAGAGAATATAGAGCTTTCTAGTTATTACAGGAAAGTTCAATAGAAACAGAATGAAGATTTAGTTGTAGAATTTCTAATATCAATAGAACAAACAGATGGTACTTAGAATGCTGTATAAAAATATCATTACCTGATAAAGACAATAAGAAAACAACATTAGGAGAGATATTATGAGCGCAATCAGGACACTTAAGTGCCTTCCTGAAGTTGAATTCAGAAACTGTGGTATTTGAACGATGATAAATGGGATAACAGATATAACCATTATCCTTGCGGCATAACAAGTCCAAATATCGGTACTGACACCTGTACCTGCAAGAAGGGAGAATTTGATTAAGCAGTGAAATTAAACACAGATGTTTGAATGTTAGTTCAAACCAGTGGAACTAACACTTTAAGCAATTTTTAACCATTATAGATTAAGCCAACCAACTGAAACAATATACCATCAAAGAGATTGTTAACATTACAATTGTGTGCAACAGATTCACACATCATGAGAAAAATTACAAAGACAATACAAAATCAAATATGAAACTCATAAAATGTAAATCGTTAGATGATCAATTGCATTAAAGTCCAATTATAGAAGTAGAGTTACACACCAGTTAAGCTAAATCCTTTTGTCAGTTGTTTGTCGATTGCAATTGAATCTTGAAGGTCACACCTGCCAACGATGATACAAGATCCCCATATTATAGTAAGAAGCATGACAGTCGAACCAGCCAACAAGCCCATTCCAACAGACACCTGACTTTGAGCAGTTTCTTTAGTTCCTGAAAGTCCAGATACTGTACAAAACAAAGGAGTTAGTGCAAATGATAAAAACCACAAAAAGCCATAGAGATGAAAGGCTACATCTCTACATTCAATGCAAAAGATGTAACCTTTTCAGATTATCAGATATGGAAGAGTGGTATAAGAACTATAAACAGCCAAAAGAAATCACAACACGGCTGCTCCAAAGTTATTATCACTACGCTGCTTACGTTCTTTCATCTTTAAAATTTACAAGGTAACAAAGCACCTGTTATCAACAACTCATGAAGAATATTTTTCAATATTTTCCTTTTTCCTTTGCCTTTTTTTAAAAAAATTTCAGCTCAACCATTTTCCTGTAAGAGCAAAACAGGATATGCGAGGATCAAGGACGACAACTCAGATTCTTTTGAGGAAGAAAAGGAATCTGAAACGAAAAAGAATTTATGCAAGACTGATTTCCCAGAACTTTTTGGGCAGAAGAATATGTCTGACAATGGTATAAATCTAAAATTTAATTTAATTTCATTTTCTTAGTGTAAAGCCATAAAAGCCATTTCGACGATATAAATCGAAATACAAATGAATTTTAAGATTCGAATTTCATTTTTTTTTTCGTGTCATCCCTTTTCTCATAAATCTAACGGAAAGCGATGAACCCAATTCACTCTGTCACGTTTTGAGCTCAGCTGTTAACCTTTTTAGTCTATCTATAAAAATCCAACGATGGTTCTTTAAATCTTTCTTTCTCTCCCATTTCTCACCTTTTCACTTTCTCAGCATCCAAACACCAGAAACCAAAAAAAGAAAAACAAAAAAAAAACAAAAGAACGGGAAAACAAATTGCATCCAAGCAATCGAAAAGCCAAAAAAGAAATAAAAATTGAATTAAAAATGAACTGAATAATACCAAGAATGAGCATTGCATCCGGAAGGGCTCCGAGCATGGGGAGGAACAAACCGCCGACGATTCCAGGACCCAGGATCTCGAGCAAGAGCTCACTTCCAGCAGATAAATATGTGGCAGCCAAGAACATGAGGTAGCCATAAACGGCGATGAGGAAGAGGTTACCAATCGCTGTTGTGGTACAGGGCAGGAAACCATACGTCTCCTCACAGGATTCCTCCTGCGGAGCCGATAATACCCAAGAAGAAGAAGAAGTAACAGGCTCTATGAGCAGGGGGACAGAGTGATTGGGTGAGGCATGGAGACCTTCGGAGAGCAGATCGGAGGACAGTAGACGGGTGGTGAGAAAGCGGCCATGAACCGCGCAGCAAAGAATAAGGAAGAAGAAGAAGAATAAGTGCTTGCTAAACATGGCTATGGTGCAAAATACAGATTGGTGTAGACGAAAATGGAGGTAATACACATATAGAGTTACAGAGTGTAAGAAAAACGTGTGTGAATCGCGGATGGATGGGAGATCAGACTGTTGATTCTGTTTTCAGGCAGCAGCCCAAGCGGTCAGGGGGGAAGTAACACCTTTGGATTTCTTTTTCTTTTTTTATTCAAAATAATCTTTAAAACAATTGAAATTAAAATAATTATTAAAAATTATTTTATTAAATAAATAAATTTGTTAAGAACATGTTTATAAGTCTAGTTGAAGAAATATATGTATAAAATCCATCAAATCAACAAAAATCAAATGATTTAAATAATTTCCAAAGTTATATTGGAAACCAATCAATATTTTTTTAATTAAATTTATTTATAAATATATTAAAAAAATTTAAAATAGTTAAAATATAATATTATCTAAAATATCCAATAGTATTTTTGAAATAAATTCAAAAAATTAATTTACTTTTCTTTTCTGTCTCTAATTTTTTACATAAAATATCAGTTATAATCATGCAGATTTTTTTATATTTATTTAATAATATCATAATCTTAATGAAATTTGAAATATATTATTTTAACTATATATGAAATTTCATATAAATCTATTTTTTTTGTTAGCATAATATAATTTATAAATTTATTTAAAAAATTAAAAATAATTAAAAAATAATATTTTATAAAAATTTGAATAATATTTGCTTTATTTACTTAATTTTTATGTCTCTTTTTTAATAGAAGATTTTAATTGTAATCATGCATATTCTTTTATACTTATTTAATTATGTCATAATTCTGATAAAATTTAAAATATATTATTTTAACTTTATGTGAAATTTTATATAAGTCTAATTTTTTTCGTTAGCATAATGTAATTTATAAATCTATTAAAAAAATTAAAATAATTAAAAAGTAATATCATATAAAATACTATATAAAAGTTCGAATAGTACTTTCGAAATAAGTTCAAAAAATTTATTTACTTAATTTTTTTTGTCTATTTTTTAATAAAATAATTTGATTGTAATCATGCATATTCTTTTATACTTATTCAATAATGTCGTGATTTTAATAAAATTTAAAATATATTATTTTAATTTTATATAAATCTAATCTTTCTTGTTATCATAATGTAATTTATGAATTTATTAAAACAAATTTAGAATAATTAAAAAATAATATTATATAAGAGTTTGAATAGTACTTTCAAAATAAGTTCAATAAATTGATTTACTTAGCTCTTCTTTTTCTTTTTCTTTACATAAAGTTTCAGTTGTAATGATACGGATTTTTTTATATTTATTCAATGATATCATGATCTTGATAAATTTTGGAATATATTATTTTAACTCTATATAAAATTTTATATAAATTTAATTTTTTTATTAGCATAATGTAATTCATATACTTTTTTAGTTGAAAGTACAAATTTATGAATAGACTTGAAAGCATTTACATGATTACTTTAAGTAATATTTAGGTTATATTAAAACAAAT